AGCTCCAGCTCTGTATTCTCTCTGTCACTGTAGAGAAATCCAACTGATTTTTGTATGTTGATCTTGTATCCTGCTACTTTGCTGAATTGGTCAACTATGTCACCAAGGCTTCTTAATGAACTAGCAAGATGATACTTGCAATGTAGTGTCTGAGTGTAAGTTAGTAATTTCTCTTTGTTTTCATCTCCGTGAAGAAAGAAATGCTACTAGTTCTTCCCTTGTTGATGATCCAAGAAAAGTATTTATATTGTTATTGTTGCTGTGTATCGTAGAGTTGGAAATTACCCATAGCTGACTCCCTAGTGGGTTTTCAGAGGCAGTTAATCACACAGGAGGAGATTGCCCATCTTTTCCTGCAGAGTAGCTGATGGCCTTGAACCTCATACCTTAGGGATTGCAGCACAGCTTGTTACCACTAAGCCACTAGAGCTCAGTATTTCTAGCAGTGTCAGCAACTAGAAAGCACTTACTAAAAGCTCTTTTCCCCCTGCCACTGCCAATGCATCAAGTCAGACTCATAGCAACCCTGTCTTGCAGTTAGCAGCTCGATGGCTTATGCATAACGCCATTTATTGTTGTTATTATTTACAAGACTTTAGTGGTGCATTTTTTACCATTCTCTAATTATGTAGTAACTTTTTTTATATTATGTTTGGGAGATATTTTTGAGAGCTCTGAAACCAGGAATCTTTTATTAGAAATCAAGAATCTTTCCGAGTAATTTAGTAATTCAGCTGCCATTTTTGCCTGGGCCATTTGTTTTTTGATATGAGTGTAGCTTTCTCTATTTTAATATCTCAATAGAGAGCTGATGGGTGTGGGTTTATTAAATGCTTGCACAGATTTACAACTTCTTAGTCTAAAGCCACCTGCAGAGATACCATTGAGGCAGTTAACGTTTTGTCTGATTTGCTTTTAGCTAATGTGCAAAGTATCACTCTGAGTACAAGCTATTCTGCATAATCATAGTAGGACTTGTTTTACTCTGAACTCCTTTATATTTTCCATGAACTGCTCTGTCAGTTTAATCATTATTCTTTTGTTCTGTTCTCCAGTGTTATATATCAGTGGAATATAGCTCATTTGCTGAAAAAACATAAGCGATGGGCAGATGTAATAACGGCTGAAATAAAAAACCTTCTACAGCAAATTGAGGCTACACAACAAAGAAAAACCTCTTTATCAGAAGAGGTAAGGAAATTCATGAAACCCAAGATGTTAATGATTAGTCTCTTATATTGCATCAGAGTAATTGTACTGAAAAAGTCTTTAGTAAGGGACTTCTCCAAATTATTGACAAGCAATGATATGTCAGTTTGAATACTAAGGTACACCTGATGCAGGCCATGGTCTTTTTCAGTAGCCTAACATGCATCTAAGAGCAGGACAATGACTAAGGATGACAGAAAAAGAGTTGATTCCTTTGAATTGTGTTGGAGAAAAGTGTTGACTATCCCATGGATTGCTAAAAGAGCAAACAGATATGTCTTGGAGAAGCAAGAGTACTCCTGGAAGGCAAAGATGATGAAGCTTCATCTTGCATACTTAGGGCATGTTGCTAGGAGAGGTTTTTCCTTGGAAAGGGGCATTATGCTTGGGGGTGGAGGGTCAGCGAAGGAGAGGAAGACCCTGTGGACTGACACAGTCACCGAAGCAATGGGCTTCAATGTGTCAGAGATTGTGAGAATGGCACAGGATAGGAAAGGGTTCAGATCTGTTGTTCATAAGGTCATTATGAGATACTCAACTTGATGGCACCTAACAACAATAACAACAACAACAATTGTCTTTATTTAATTTTTAACTCAACCTTACTTTATTAGAAGGTATTTTCTTTTCTGCTCACTTCATATTTGAATTATTTTCTTAAGGCATGAATCCATTTGATATATTATTAACTATAAGACTTTAACAAATGAAGTAGCTATTTTCTTCAAGATAGACTTTTGAACCATACAACCAGAAACTTACTTGAGGGTGATCTATAGAAAAAATGTTTATCAAAATTTAAAACCAAGCATCTTGTACTTACCTCCTATATTTAAATTCTGCCTCCCTCTAAGATGATTGTAGGCAGTATAAAGACAGCATGAAGATGTCTGACTTCTGCCAACTCCATAAAGGGGAACTGTGTCAACAATATCCAAGTACATAATTAATTCCTGTAAGGTCAGACAGGGTCTCTCGTGCCCCTGCACCTGCTTCTACTAATTCCAACACCAATCTTACTAATCTACTGGGGCCAATGACTACAAGGACTTCAATGAACCACACTCACAGTTGGGATTTATTAGGGAAATGAACAGACTATAATTCAGATTGGCAGGAGGATACGATGCCTTAAACTAGACAGCCTCTCAAGCATGATCACAGGGCCTTTGACCTTCAGTCTCATGGCTTAGGTCATTGTTACAAAGTTCTTTAGTCCTATCAGTTGTGTTCCATCAGTCCTCCAGTAAACTTAGATTGAAAGATTTTAGCTCTGGCTCCGTGGGGCAGCAATCCCAAGTCACATCTCTGTTTCTCTGCTGAGGCTGCTGTTGCTTTTGTATAGATCTTAGTCTGGCGGGCACAGGAATCTCTGGCCCCAAAGAATGTGCACTGCTCCCTCATCCTTGTTGATGGTAAGAGCTCATATTTCTACTTCTGAATCCCTGCATTTTAATAGCAAGACTAACCAACTCCCTTGTGGATAGACTATCACATCCTATTTGTGTTATCCTGCCCAGCTGTATAGCAAAGTCAAAGTCAATAACTAGGAAAGCCATTTTGAACAATAAACCCTTTTAACATCATACTTTCTTTTACTAGAAAATGTTTGGGAAAAAATTAATTGCTGGAGAGAAAAAATACTGTCAATGGTTACTAAGAAATAATATCCCTTGCACTCAGAGACAAGTCTTATGCAAAGATATGTGAATTTAGCTGGTTGTTTGGAAATAAAAACTTTAATTCTAAAGGGAGAAATTATAATCTTTAATTCTTTTTTCTAATTAGACTGACAGTAGAGAAAAGGAGATTGATTTATTTGTGGCACAGATTGAACAACTTACAGTAGAATTAAAAGAAGAGGAGAAGAAATTTGTTTGCAAAGAAAAACAGTTAATTGCAGACATAAATAAGTATGAGGTAAACTTTATTTTACATCTATAAATTATTTTAGGCTGATGTATGGAGTGTAAACAATTAGTACTTGTTGTTGTTATTCATTAAATGTAAAGTGAACCTGTGTCTTCTAGCATGAACAAGGCTATAATATTTTTATGTTTTCAATGTTGTTATTGTTATGTGTCGTTGAATTGCCTGTAACTCATATACAACAGCCCTAAACCCTACTATATCTTGTGCCAATTTTATTGTCTCTGACATACGTACCCTTATTACCCCAGTCACTGAGTCAATTGATCTTATCAAAAATACAAAGATTCTCATCACTGGACCAATAGGCAGCATCATGATAGATGGTGAAGAGATTGAGATGGTTAACAGCTTTAGTTTGCTTGACTCCACAATCAATACTTGGTACCAGTATCCAGGAAATTAAAAGACATATTGTATTAGGAAAGTCTGCTGTCAGAGCCCTCTCCAAACTACTGAAGAGCAATGATGTCAATCTGAAGACTAAGGTGCACCTGATCGAAGCCATAGTCTTTGCAACTGCTTGCTATGCGTCAGAAAGCTGGACAATGACTAGGGATGATAGAAAGAGAATTGATGCCTTTGAGCTGTGGTGCTGGAAAAGAGTATTGAATATATTCTGGACTGCTAAGAGAACAGACAGGTTTATCCTAGAGAGGGTAAAATCAGGCTGCTCCTTGGAGGCAAGGATTCTGAAGCTTTGTCTGACCTGCTTTGACATGTTTCAAGGAGGGACCAGGTCTTGGAGAGGGACATCACACTTGGGAGCATGGAGGGACAGCACAAGAGAGGGAGAACCTGATAAGCTGTGAGAGGATATCAAGGATATCATCCAGGGAGAATGCAGGGGATCATTACAAAGTCAGAGGAGAAAGAAAAAACCAAGATGGATGTCAAGAGACTCTGAATATTGCACTAGAGTGCTGAGAAGCCAAAGAAAAGGAAAGAACTCAAGATATTAAGAAGCTAAACAGAAGGTTTCAAAAGGCAGCATGGGAAGACATAGTAAAGTATTATAATGAAATGTACAAAGAGCTGGAGTCAGAAAATCAAAGGGGCCAAACTCACTCAGCATTTCTTAAGCTCAAGGAGCCAAAGAATAAATTCAAGCCGTGAGTTGCAATGCTTAAGAAGGCTTTGTGCAGAACATTAAATGATCCAAGAAGCATGAAAAGAAGATGAAAATAAGCAAGAGCGTGTGGTGATGAAGGAAGAAGTTCGAGCTGCTCTGAAAGAACTGGCAAAAAATGAGGCCCCCAGGAATTGATGGTATGCCAATTGACATATTTCAGCAAACAGATGCTGCCCTGGATGTGCTCACCAAGTTGTGCCATGAAATCTCGAGGACAATCACCTGACCAAGGACAACCACCTGGCCACCTTGACTGGAAGAGATCTATATGTGTTTCCATGACAAAGAAAGGTGATATGACAGAGTGTGGAAATTATTGAACAATATCATTAATATTTTTCAGCGTGTTGTGTGTGTGTGTGTGTTATGTGCCGTCGAGTCATTTGTGACTGATAGCGACCCTATGTACAACATCCCTTAACCCTGCTCTATCCTGTGCCAATCGAATTGCCTCTGACACACCTGTCCCGATTACCCAGTCACCGAATCAATCCACCTCATAGAGGGTCTTCCCCTCCTGCACTGTCCCTCCACCCTCCCAAGCATGATGTCCCTCTCCAAGGACCTCTCTCTCCTTACAACATGTCCAAAGTATGTCAGGCGAAGCCCCAGAATCCTTGACTCCGAGGAGTAGCCTGGTTTAACCTTCTCCAGGATGAATCTGTTTGTTTTCTTGGCAGTCCATGGTACATGCGGTACTCTTCTCCAGCACCACAGCTCAAAGGCATCAATTCTCCTTCTATCCTCCTTAGTCATTGTCCAACTCTCTGATGCATAACAAGTGATTGGGAAGACCAAAGCCTGTATCAGACACACCTTAGTCTCCAGAGAGACACCATTGCTCTTCATTACTTTGGAGAGGTCCCTAACAGCAGACTTTCCCATGGCACTATGTCTTTTCATTTCCTGGCTACTGGTGGCAAGAGTATTGACTGTGGAGCCAAGCAAACTAAAGCTGTGAGCAATCTCAATCTCTTCACCATCCATCCTGATGCTGCCAAATGGTCCAATGGTGAGAATCTTTGTCTTCTTGACATTGAGCCTCAATCCATATTGGAGGCTACAGTCCATAAAAGTTTTATTTTATACTGGTTTAATTACAAAGTATCCATTGTTTTTCACCCCAGATCTTTCCCATTCCCTTTACCCACCCCTCCCTCTAGCCATCAAATTGGGCAACCCTATGATTAACCCCCTGCCCATCCTCACTCCTGTGCTCCTGTTCCCCCCTTGGATCCTCATACACATTTTACTAGTTGTCTTTCTGTTTTCACAAGAATGTCTTATACAGTATCTGTACTTACGGGACTGAGTTAGTTCATTTAGCATAATGATCTCCATTCCCTCCCACTTTAATAGTGATTTTCAAAATCATTGTTCCTACATTCTGCGTAGTATTAGTTACTATTTATTTTAAATGCATTCTGATTTTTTAAAAGATATACAACCATTCCCTTTGAAACTTGAGAAATTAAGCAGTCGTCTTCATGTTTTATTTCAGGTACTTTTAATCTATTTACTGTGATATTGTATCCAATTACTTTTACCTCTTTCCCCTTTTTTATTTGGATCTGCATTTCTTATATGTATATTCACTTTATAGCTTATTTTTCCCATTAAATATGATCAATCAGAGACAACATTCTCAAATATACTTTTGGGCTTTATGTTTGGTAACATTACAAGACTAATAACAGTAGAATTGTATAGAACTGGAAAAGTCTTTGGGAAGTTAATTGACCCTCATCTTCTGTCTTGAGGATTGTTATAAACTCAGAACTCTCAAGATTTGTCTTTTGCTGCCTTTTGAGCCTTGAACTACACTCACCCCCAAGACACAGTTCCAACTAAACAGGTCTATAAAGGGAACAGTAACACTCAGCTCATAGAACAACCAAACACACAAGATCACAAGAGCATAATTTGCCCAAAGTTAAAGCTCAAAAGGTAGGAAGGGAGATACTGGGAGGATAAATGGAAACAAGAACTATAGAGAGACAGTGAGAAGAGTGATGACAGAATGTGGAGGTTGAAATCTATGTCATAAAATGAAATATGTATGAATGATTGAATAGAATACCAATAAAAAGTTAAAAAATACTAGAGAATCCGTAAGTCAGCCAACAAATGTGTATTAACCACCTAGTATGTGACAGGTAGAGTAGCTTGCTGGTACAAATAGTTGAAAGACTCAAAAGAAAGTCCTGGTAATACACTTCCAAAAATCAGCCACGAAACGCTCTATAGAGTAAACTTCTGTTCTGAGACACCTAGAGTTGCCATGAGTTGGACACAACTCTATAGAAACTGAGTATTTTTGTTTGGTTTCCTGTGCCAAATACCTCCGAATATAAAGAGACCACGGCACAGAGCCCTCTCACTCAAATAACTCATGTTCTTCTCTAGAGTGGTTTTGTAAAGTTCTAAAAAAGAGAATTTAAAAAGTGAAATTATCTCAATTTTATTTTCTTCAAAGGTTAAACTTGTTAAGGAAGTGCAAGTTAACAAAGAAAGGGAAGAAGAACTAGCTGAGTGTCTTCCACAACTTCAGGAGGCAGAAGAAATATTTGCAGAAAAATATAGACAGTTTGAAGACCTTACAAGTGCTCTTTCAGGTATATATGAAGTATTTAGCACTTGATCTCAATCCCAGGTGAGGATTTCACTGCCGTCTTCTACTATAAAGTAGACAATCAATCTACAATCCAATTCTGAAGCCTGTCCAATTTCTCCCATGATGCTTTGTTTTCTAAGTTTTCCTCATCCATTAATTTCCTCTCCTATGCACTGCAATCTTATCTCTATTGCTAGGACTTTTATTTTCTCTTTTATGTCTATTCAAAATTGAGGGCTATTATCTTCTTCCTATAGTGGGTAAAGGTAAAACAAATTCTTTAATCTTCTACCACACGAAGAATTTTTTTTAAAAAGTTCTCACCATTAATTTTCAAAATATATCTTATATCAAATTATGACTTTAAGCCTTAGTAAGTAAGTACTTATAAATTATTTTTGCTACTCAGCTACAAAGATATTATGCATGAAGAGAGCAAAAGGACAGTACAAAGTCAAGGAAAAACCAAAAGACCAAAATGGATGTCAGAAGAGATTCTTAAATTGTGTGAGAGCATTGACATGTCCAAACAAAGGAAAGAAATGTGGAAGTAAAACAGATAAACAGAAGATTTCAAAGAGTGACATGAGAAGACAAAACAAAGTATTATAACAAAATGTGCATAAAGCTGGAGCTAGGAAATAAATAAAACACACTCAGTGTATCTCAAACTGAAAGAACTAAAGGACAAAGGCAAACCTTGAATAGCAATACTGAAGGATGCAATGAGTAAAATTTTGAATGATCCAGGAATCATGAAAAGAAGATAGAATGAATATACAGAGGCATTGGACTAAAAAAGAATTGACTGACCCAGACTTGAGAAAGTAACACACTATCAAGAACTAAAGGTAAGGAAGGAAGAACTTCAAGCTGCGCTGAAGGCATTGACAAAATATAAGGCCCCAGGAACTGATGGAATATCAATTGATATGTTCTGACAAATAAATGCATCCCTGGATGTACTCCTCAATCTGTGCCAGGAAATTTGTAAGTCAGCTACTTAGCGAACTGACTAGAAAAGATTCATATTTGTTTCTATTCTCGAGAAATTATCAAACAATATCATTACTATTACAAACAAGTAAAATCTAACTGAAGATTATGAAAAATCAGCTAGAAAAGTACATTGACAGAGAAGTTCCAGAAGTTCTAGCTGGATTTAGAAGAGATTGTGACACTTTGTATATGATTCCTGATATCCGATAGATCCTGGCTGAAAGCAAAGAACACCAGAAAGATGTATATTTGAGTTTTATTGACTGCACACAGGCATTTGACTTGGTGGGCCATACATAACAAGTCATGGCTGATATTGAGAAGAATGGGAATCCCAAAACACTTAAGTGTGTCAGATGAAGCTTCAGAATCCTTGCCTCCAAGGAGCAGCCTGGTTTAATCCTCTCCAGGATGAACTTGTTTGTTCTCTTAGAAGTCCTTGGTATAGTCAACCCTCTTCTCCAACACCACAGCTCAAAGTCATCAATTTTCCTTCAATCATACCTAGTCATTGTGCAGCTCTCCGATGCATAGCAAGTGATGGCAAAGACCATGGCCTGTATAGGGCACACCTTAGTCTCCAGTCTGACATTATTGTTCTTCAGTACTTTAGAGAAGTCTCTGACAGCAGGCTTTCCCAATGCAAAGACTTTTCCCTTTTAATTTCCTGGCTGCTGGTGCCAAGAGTGTTGATTGTAGAGCCAAGTAAACTAAAGATGTTAACAATCTCAGTCTCTTCATCATCCATCATGATGTTGCCAATTGGCTCAGTGGTGAGAATCTTTGGTTTCTTGATATTGAGCTTCAATCCATATTTAAGGTTGCAGTCCTTGACCTTCTACAGCAAGTGCTTCAGGTCCTCCTCAGTTTCAGCAAGCAGGGTTGTGTCATCTCCAAAATGCAGATTGTTGGTAAGTTTTCCTTCAATCCTGATGTCACATTTCTCCTCATAGAGCCCAGCCTCCCAGATAATCTGTTCTGTATAAAGAGTGAAAAGATATTGTGATAGGACACATCCCTGGCATACACCCTTCCCAATTTTAAACCATGCAATATCCCCTTTCTCATTTCTTATGACTGTATCCTGGCCCACATATAGAAGAGCAGAGAATAAATAACACACTTTTGGAAGGTTAAAATTGGGATAGAAGAGTGATCAGAAGAAGAAGAGGAATAGTAATTTCTCACAGAAAAGCACACTATGAATGCAAGAAGTTCTTGCCACAGAACCTTGAAAGTCTTGAACAGTGTAGGACCCTGCTACCTTGAAGTCTAAGATGAGACATGGGCCTAAAGTTAAGTTGAATGTCTTTAAAAATTTCAGTCAGACGTCAGCGAAGTCCCTCTTCTGTTCAGCTGAGTAAATACTCCTTCTCAACACAGTAAAAAACAAACAAAAAAAAACCCAGAAACTGGACCAGAGAGTTCCAAATGATGAGCCATCAGATATGGCTGAGAGGCGGAGAGAGTTGCGATTTGGAGATTCCTCATCTCTCCCTCTGCTTATCGTGGAGAATTGGCAACAGTTGTGACAATCTCCTCCCTTTCCTTCTTCCCAAAGAAGAATCCTTACATTCTTCTCAAAGTGAAAAAAAAAATTTCACAGAAAAGCCTAATAGATACTGACCTTTGAGAGTTTTCCAGCTTCTCCCTCTATGACCACTATACTATTCAAGGAAGCCCACTCAGAAATCTAACTTTCTACTGTCTCGCTCTTAAATAGTCCCAGGGCACCAAAGATCTCTATCCATGTAGGCTCTGTCTCACATACTTTAGACATGTTGCCAGGAAACACCAGTTCTTAGAGAAGGACATCATGCTTTGAAGAGTGGACAGACAGGGCAGGAGAGGAAGACACTAGATTAGATGTATTGACACCGTTAACTGGGTATTGAGGGTAGGTGTGTCAGAGCCAGTGAGACTGGATCATAACAGGATGGGTTCAGAGATATTGTACATAGGGTTACTATGGGTCACAGTCGAGTCAATGACACATAACAACAGCAACAATCGCACCATAAAGTTATGCTTGCTTAAAACGATTTTAAATTATTAGAACAATATAAATATCATTACCTGATGAGCTGCATGTTGTTGTTATTTGCCATCAAGTCGACTACAACTCATAGTGACCCTATGCACAATAGCTTTGAATCTTGCTCTATCTTGAGCCAGTCTCACTGTCTCTGACACACCTTCCCCCATTACTCTATTTACTGTATCAATCCATCTTGTCTGAGGTCTTCCTCTCCTGCACTGTACCTCCACCACTCCAAGCATGATGTCCTTATCCAAGGACTGGTGTCTCCTGGCCACATGCCCAAAGTATTTGAGATGGAATGGAGGGGGGGTGTATGTGTTTGTGTGTATTGAGGTGGAACTATAGTTGTTCCCTATCAGATGGGAGTAATTATGCTAAATTATCCTCTATTGCATTAGGAAGTAAAAAGAAAAAAATCATTAAAATGACAAATCAATATATATTCATATAAGAATGCTTTAAGAAATGGATATTCATGCAAAAGGAATTTAAGAGTTAAAAAATCCTTGCTTCTGATGGATCAAACACCTGACAAGTTTTAAATCTTGTAATAATATTTGATTTTTAAAATAAGACCCAGCTCTTAACTTTTTTTTTAACAAAATAGCATTATGGTATTATTTTTTTTTCTTTTTTCTAGCACAAAAGCGAGAGGAGACGTTAATAAGCCATTCCATTTTTCAGACAAAAAGAGACTTATCAAGATACACTCAACACATGGTAAATGGTCAATGCATTTATTTATTTTCCCCTTGGATTAGAAAATGGACCCATAGTAGTATATGGATAATACCTTAATTATTTGATACTATTTGAGTTTTTAGAAATTTTCTTTATTAGGCTTATCCTTTTAAAATGAGTAACTTAAAGAATATAGCTATATGTAAATGCATCTACATGCACACAGGAATATACACCTCCAAGTTCATGTATATAAATGTGTACACATGTGTGTGTATACACAGATTTAGGAGCTGAATAACTTAACTACAGGAAAAATTTTTCATAGTGGAGTCTTCTAAAGTAAAGGGATTGGATTATACTTATTAATGGCTCTTTTCAAGTCTTTGATTTTCTTAAATTTCTGTGGAATCAAGCACGGGTAGGCAGATGTTGCAGAGAAGAGAGCAGATAAATTAGGAATAGGTAAAGAAGTGTTAACTACCATTTAAAAATTAATACTTAATAGTTAATGTATCTAAAGTTAGTTAAATAAATGTGAAAGCATTCTATTCTTTGAGAGGCATTGATATAAAAAGAAAAGTAATATTTATATGTGTAGATAAATAGGAAGAGAGAATTACAAATATAGCACAATTAGAGTTCTATTATTTTAATCAGATACTACTGACAATGATTATACAATAAATAAAGGTAATGTGATTTAAAATAGTTTGATAATGGATAGCTAAATAGCTCAATGGAGGATTCAGAAAAATTCTTAAATAATCTTGGGGGACTCAGGACAGAGGCATCCCTGGGGTTGTAGATACCTGTATCTGGAGGTCCTTGTCCATGGCTGTGGGGATATACCAGGGGCCAAATAGAATGAGAGACTTTAGTGTGCAGAACATTGCACGAAGGGAAGAATTTCCTTAGCTCCCTGTGATGCAGGGCTGACCTGTGAGTCTCTGCATACAGGTGACCCAGGTGGGGATCAGATCTCCCACCACACCAGAGACAAAGGAACACAGTAAGCCTCAGGAGAAAAGATCAGGAGAGGTGGAGGCTCTGTGCAGAGAGCGATCACTCAACAGGATTGGGGTGTCCCTGGGGCTGGAGACACTTCCATCTGGAGATTTTTGCCTCCATGACTGTGGGGCCATCCATGGGGCCAACCTGGAAGAGCACACAGGGAAGAATATTTTTGGTTCCCTGTGACACAAGACTGACCAATGAGCCTCTTCAATCAGGTAGCCAAGGAGTGGAGGCTGTCTGATCTCAGATACATCAGAGACAAAGGAGCATACCCACTTGCAGGAGAAAAGGTGAGGAGAGGTGGGGGCTCTGTGCTGAGATAAAGCACTCCCCATTGCCTGTGGAGAGAAAGGTCTGAGGCATCCCTGAGGATGTAGGTACCTCCATTGTGGGTCCTGCATCCCTGGCTGTGGGGCCATCCCAGAGACAAAACAGGACAAGAGATTTTAGTACCCAGAATTTCAGGCAGAGGGAAGGGATTTTTGTAGCTCTCTAGAAGAGAAAGAGGGCGGGCTGATTTGAGACCCCCTGCATCTAAGCAGCTTGAGCTGGCAGCCATGAATTCTAATCTTCTGCTACTCCAGAGACAAAATAAGACATTAAGCTCCAGGGGGAAATGTGCAGAAGAAACTGTTTGAGTAGAGCACCTGGTCTCACACTACCCAGCCACTTCATATATGAAGGAGGCCTATAGAGTTGATGTCAGGGGATTTCTTCAAGGTGAAATTCCTACAGGGCTGCAGTGCAGAACAGAGAGAACCTCAAGGACTTTAAAAAAGGCAAATTTTCCCTGAAGTATGTACAGTGGAGTGAGCACTTCACCACATTTTAACTTGGCAACTAACTAGTAACATTTATAAAGGTAAAAACTACCAACAACTTTCATGCACACAATAGAAACAACCTAACACTTATCAAGAAAAACTTCACATAATGTCAGAAAAGCAACAGACAGCTTCAAACAGCATGAAGAAACTAAGCCCTCTCAAAAAAAAAACCAAAAAAACAAAAAAAAAAACCACACCAAAGAAACATACCAACCAAAAAACCCCAAAACAGAGAATTTCAGAGACTTCATGAATACCCCAGAGTCAAGAAGGCAGATGATATATGTTGATATGGAGACCTTAAAACAGCTATGAATAAAAGTACAAATGATGGAAGAAACACTGGAAGCCACAGATAAAGGAAATACCTAGAAGCAGAGAACCAGAAAAAATATATTGATGAAGTATTATTTGAACATCTACATAAGAAGGTACAAATGACGGAAGAAGCAATGGAAACAAACAAGAAAGTAATGCTCCAGAGACACAGAGCCAGAATAAATATATTGATGAGGAGGAACTTGCACAAATACAGGAGAAAATGCAAAACAAATGGAAAAATTGAAACTATAGATAAAGAGATATAAAAACTTAAAAAAAAAATCATCACAAGATAAAGAGGGTACTGCCAATACAGTACTACTAGAAATAACAGAGAGACATGAAAATGCAATCTAGAACATTAAGACTGGAATGGCAAAAGTAACCAAAACATTGGAAGGAAAAGAAAAAAAAAGAAGAGAAGGAGCAGAGTGTCAGTGAGCTGGAAGACAAGAATCTCAATGAAAACATACAAGAAGAAAAATCAGAGATGAGACATGAAGAAAATATTAGAATTATGTGTGATAACATAAAAAAATAACATATTATTGGAATTCCAGAATATGAGAGGGATAGGGAAATTACTGAGAAAATTGTTGAAGAGGTACAAGAAGGCAACTTCCCAGGTATTATAAAGAATGAGGAAATCTACACTAGGGAAGTTCAGTGAACACCAAATAGACCAGACCAAAAAAAGGAAAATATCAAGACATATCATAGTCAAATTCTCCAACATAAAAGATAAGGATAGAATACTAAAAGCAGCATGGGAAAAACAAAGTATTACCTACAAAGGAAAAGCCATTGGATTAAGTTCTGATTTTTCAGAAGAAACCATGCAAGCAGGAAGACAATGGGATTGCATACACAGAAAGTTGAAATAAAACAATTGCCAACCCAAGACACTGTATCGAGCAAAGCTCTCCATCAAATATGAAAGAGAAATTGCATCGTTTGCAGAAAAGAAAGAAATTAAGGAATTTATGAAAAAATCTACAAGACTTTTTGAGGGAAGTCCTACACATAGAGGCACCAAAGGAAAGTGGATGGATCATAGTAACAAGAAATAACAACAACAAAAAATAAACACAGCAAAACGGCAGTGATAAAACCTGGCCTGTCAATAATATTTAATGTGAATGGACTTAATGTACCAATCAAGATAAAAAGAATAGCAGAATGAATAGATCTAAAAGCAAGGTCCATTAATATGTTATCTATAAGAGACACATATAATAAATGAAGAGAAAGGTAGACTCAAAATCCAAGGCTAGTAAAAAAAAAAATATAGCAAGCAAATGATATCCACAGAAAAGAGTGGCAATAAAATAGACAAACATTACCATAAAAGGGAAGGAAGGACACTATATAGGGATTAAAGGCACAGTAGATTGAGAGGACATAATCTTGGTGAACACCTATGACCCAAATGATTGTTGTTGTTGTTGTTATGTGCCATCGAGTCGTTTCCGTCTCATAGCGACCCTATGCACAACAGCTCTAAACCCTGCTCTATCCTGCGCCAACCGCACCGC